GCATTTGATTTACTCTGTAGTACTTATAAATATTCTTATTCTTTTTTATCTTTGTTTCTTGTAGATAAGATTTTGGACCTTCAAAAAGAATATACTTTTTTGCATTCATTTGAACATCTTTTCTGGTTTAGAACTTGCCTCAAGGGAAAACCTTGAAAGAAAATTAAAACTTCTTTCTTAAAGCCCACAGCAATTTATTAATATTTTAAAGCTTTTCAGTACAGTTGCATTCACAAATTGGATTTGCACTGTTTGATATAAAACAATTGTTTTATTTCCACTTCAAGTGCTCCACTGTTTTCAAGCTTGTTAATTAAATGTTTTATTTTTTAAAATACTGTACAAGTTTCTCAAAACTTCATCTGCACCTGCTCCATTAATGAAAAGATGTCCTTGGAACAACTCCAGTTTATTAAGTGGAAAGCCATTTATTTCACACAAGAATTCAGTCTTTTACCTGTAAGCTTTAACATGAGTTAGTATGTATTGTATTCTTTCACCTTCTATCACTGTCAATTAATACAAGCATTTTTAGTGTGAAGGGAGAAAAAAAGATATGTTGTTTGGAATGTCACTTCCATTGCCTGACGCTCCTAAGCACGTGCTGAACTGGCATTTTTGTAAAGCTATTTAATGTTTTTTCTGTTAGCCTGGCCTTTTTGGTCTTGCCCCATCACATTTTTTTTCCAATGAGATTGTGTAGCATGATCTTATGAGATATAGGGATGGTGTGGAGCAGTAAAACTGCTATGACTTCTCAGGAATTTCCACAGCAGAGTCAAATTAGCAAACTTTTCTGTTTGTAATGCAGAAAAGAAATAAGGAACACACAGGGTCCCTGTAGGACCACCAAGACCTCTAATTCTTACGAGAAGCATTTGAAGTTGGAAAGATTAAACACCGCTAAAGACAAGCTTTCTGTGAATGAATTCAATCACAGCTTAATTTAAAATGCTCAACTATTTCAATTACAAGACCGTTTTACCCCTTCTTAGCAAAGAAATCTCAGATTCTTCTAAAAGAACTTCTAGGGCTGAAAAATGTTAAGGATATATTGTTAAGTTAAAAATAATTAGGGCCAGGGTTGTAGTTCACTGGTAGAGCACTCACCTAGCATGTATAAGGCCTTGGATTCAATCCCAAGCACCACAAAAATTAATAGATTACAAGATTATGTACACTAAACCTTCATTTATATAAAATCCACATGTTTATAGCAAGGTAGAGAAGAGTCTGAGAAGTTATAGAGCAAAACATTGTTTTCACCAAGTAAGTGGTGTTTTTATATTGTCTTTGCTTGTTTGAACTTTCTGATTTTTCTATAATAAATGTTCTCTGTGGATTAAAGGAATGTTTTTTAATGTGGCTTTAAAGACTTGTTAAACTGGATCATATTGAATTAAAGAACAAAAGAGATGAAAAAGCAGCTCTTTAGTTATAAAGCTGAATCAGAAAAAAAATTTTTAAACTCATTTTTTTAAGATATACATGTCACTAAATAATTTGCTTTAAAGATATTCTGACAATCATAAGAAAATATAAAAACTTTAAGAGTATGAAAATATCTGTCTCATCATTGCCTTTTGTTGCTTGATATCATAATCAACTGACATTTTTTACAACTGGCTTTTTTTATTATTATTATTTTTGGCTTTGTACATGTGAGGCAAGCACTCTACCAATTGAGCTATATCCCCAGCTCTCAAATGGCTTTTTCTATAATTATCACTTTTGGGTTTTCTTTTTTTTTTTGTAATTTACTAATCCAGACATTTGAATCCAAACTGGACACCATAACATGTCTTAAATTACCCTACCTTTATATAAAGAAAATAAAGTCTTACTTTCTTAATAGTCTATCTCAAAGACACATTTTTTTTTGTTTGTTTGTTGTTCGTTTTATTTTTTGTTTTGGTAAAGGGATTCAACCCAGGGTCACTTAAATACTGAGCCACATTCCCAACCCTTTCTTTAATTTTGTATGTTTTATTTTGAGATAGGGTCTCACTGAGTACTTATAGCCTCACTAAATTGCTGAGATTGCCTAGAATTTGCAATCCTCCTGCCTCAGCCTACCACATCACTGGGATTACAGGATGTACTACCACACCCAGCAGGTGCACCTTTTTAATAAATAAGGGGAAATTAAAATTAATAAAACTGTATCTGGTCTCCCTGAACAATAAATGATAGTGTAGTATTCCAGATAGTACTCATTATACAGGGTGGGTCCTTGTCTCAAGAACACAATGCCCAGAGAGAGACAGGTTTTGAGACATGTTTTATACCATCCCCACCTTCACTATCCCCTTTGCTAGAGGTTACACTGGCTGTCCCTGGAAACTCTCTCTTCCTGTTAAGAGCAGGAACACAGCATAGCTCTGTGAATTCCAAATGTCCCACTTTGCAAGACAGTAGGAAGTAAGGACCCAGGGTAGTGCAGCCTATAGCCTTGACTTCATCACACTGCCTGTGGATTCCACCACTGAAGTACCACAAAGAGCAGAGATGCATGGAACGAATGACAAAGATTCATCTGAAGAAGTTCTCTTTTTCCTCCTTCATGAAGGAAGTATGTTTACATGAGCAATTAGCACTGATTTGCCTAAGTAATATATTTGCTTCTCTAACTGCCCAACACAGGCCCACTTGGGTGACTTTCAGGATATAAAATAAGGAACATTACATTACTTAGTTGGTCATGATGATTGATTATTGACCTGATAATATACTATACTGGTCCTCAGAGATTGGTATTACTCTGTGATTGATTTTAATATAAATATCAAAATTATTATACTCAATAATATTTTAATAATTCTTAAATAATTTAATAATTCTTAAATTATTTTAATAATTCTTTTGCTTAATTATTGAGATATCTTTCACTTTACCCACATCTTAAAAATCATACCTTTTCATTCTCTCCTAAATATAGGGAAAGACAGATATCAAAATGTTGTATAGAGACACAAAGAGATAGGTAGTATACAGATATTGCTCAACCATGTGATTCACTTGCATACATTATAACACTTCACCCAAAATATTTTATCATGCCTTTAGTAAGAAGAATGCATTCTCCTTTACTACCTTAATGCAATTATCACATTGGGGTAGTTGAATACTGATCTAATTCTATAGTATTATAGACAGTACATGTTCATATTTTCCTAATCATCCCAACTATGATCTTCATAATTAGATTTAGGGAATTTTTTGTTGTTTTTTATCCTTTTTAGTCTTTCATAACATTGGCATTTGGGAAGAATCTAGACCAATTTTTCTTGAAGAATTACCCCTCAGTTTGGTCTGTCCCTCATAATTAGATTCAGGTTAAACATTTTGATAGAAATGTTGCATGAGTACTGCTGGGTCCATCTGAGTACATCTTATCAGAGATACAAGTCAGTTTGTCCCATTACTGGTAATGTTAAATTGGATATGATGGTTGTGGTGGTTCTTATTAATTGAAGAGGTGCTTTAGTAAGTAGTTTGTGCTATGAAAGTAGGATTTTAGTTCTACCAAGTTAAAACAAACAATTTACCCCAAGGTTTTAGAGTTCTGTGAAGAAACAAAACTCTACTGCTCCAACTATAGTTGTCTGTGGTAGTCCACACTTTCTACATATTGTTCTGAGCCTCTCCATATAGTCCTCCCTCACCAATAGCTAGTTTTCTGCTTCTGCTATGGTTTACATATGAAGTATCACCCAAAAGCTCACATGTGAGACAATGCATGAAAGTTTGGAGGTAAAATGATTAGGTTAGGAGAGCTTTGACTCAATCAGTGCATTAATCCTCTGGTAGGGATTAACCAGGTGGTAACTGTAGGCAGGTGGGTATGGCTGGAGGAGGTAGGTCACTGGGGTCATGCTTTGGGGGTATATATTTTGTGAGCTTAGTTTTTTGGGTTTTTTTTAATCTCTGCTTCTTGGTGCCATGTCCTGAGCTGCTTTCCTCCACCAAACTCTTCTGCCCTGATGTTCTGCCTCATATCTCAGGCCTAGAGCAATGGAGCTGGCTTTCTATGGACAGAGACCTCTAAAACTGTGAGCCCAAAAATAAATTTTCCTCCTCTAAAATTGTTCTTGTCGGGTCTTTTGGTCACAGTGTCAAAAAAAAAAAAAAGTAGACTGAAACAGCTTGCCTCTTTATAGTCCTTTCTGTCCTTTCCATAAGCCCACATTTCTTCATGAGCAAGTTCCCTACATACATCCTAAAGCTTTGACAAAGTGTTTCCTTCACCTCCAGAGGTTAACTCCTGCCAGGACCCAGTCCCCCAGCCCCCTGGGACTCCCTCTATTGAAAAAAGTTTTTCTTTCCTTTTCAAGGGATCTGGGGCATTTATTCCATTATCCATGCAACTCCACTTCCACACAAGTCTTTATAGCCATGCCAAGCCTCTGTACCATCCTTCAAATCTCCTCATAATTGTCATCTACCAACCTCCACATAATATAGATATGTACAAAATACAGTGGGAATCAGGGCATGATGGCTCACACCTATAATCCCAGCATCTCAGAAGACCAAGACAGGAGGATTGCAAGTTCAAGGCTAGCCTCAGCAACTTAGGGCCTAAGCAACTTAGTGAGACCCTATCTCAAAATAAAAAGTTCTGGGGGGCTGGGGATGTGGCTCAAGCG